CAGGCATAACACTCATACACATAAAATAAAAATGAATAAAACAATTTTTTAAAGGGAAATATTGTTGTTGGTAAGAAACTAGATGGAAATGGAAACCAGAACTTTGAGTCAGGTAAGCATATCTCATAAAGAGGAGTATCACATATTTTTTTGTCATGCATAAAATCGACATGAGTGCTGAGGAGATGCTCAGTGGATAAGAGTGCTTCCTGTGCAAGCATGATAACCAAGTGCTAGTAGCCCTGCTCACATGAAAAGACACATGTGGCCACATATGTCTATGATCCCAGCACTTGGTTGTGATGGAGACAGGAGGACCCCTGGGACCTGATGGCTGCCAGCCTCACTCCAGGTACAGATTCAGTGAGACCCTGTCTTAAGGGAGTAGCGCCATCCTGCCCTGGCTTGCACGCGCGCGCGTGCGCGCACACACACACACACACACACACACATACCATGAAAGTAAAAGGAGACCATTAGGAATGTTGAAGGGAAATGGGGGAAAGAGGTGAAAAGGAGAGCGAGTGACTCTGACCACAGTATATTACATGCACTTAGCGCAATGCGAAAACAATTCCCTGTACCTTATACAATGAGTGCTTGCCAGGAACAACGCTGCCCTAACAGCAACACTCTAAGTAGCTAGAGTGTAATGAAATATGTGAATTTCATTCCAGAAAACTCTGAAAGCATGTGGGACGAAATCAAGGAAAGTCTACGTGAATAAGCAGGTACAGTGATGCATGGGCTGTGGCTTACGCTGTGGCAGTCCTGAGTATTGCGTAGGCCTCCTGACTGCTAGGGAAATGGTCACCCACCGAGTCTCATCCACTCCAATGACATTATTTAGATACCAGTTTTTCTCAACTTGATTTATAGATGAGGCACAAGCCATTTCTATTGACTGCTCCTGTATATATCCACAAACTTTTTACTGCTTAGAACAGTACATGCAGTCATGATCCACAAACTTGGAGAAGCTACAAACCTCCCATTTCAGTAGTAATAAAAACCTACAAGAATTCAGTGAACTAGATGAAAGTATAAAAACACTAATAAATGAAAGGTAATGTAGAGATAAGAAGTAGACTCCTGAAACTAAGCTGAAATGACCAAATGCAAAGTGACAGAGATAGTGGAATCTTAAAAAATACTTTTATTTATTTTTGTGTGTATTTTGCCTGTATGTGTGTATGTAAGTGCACTCATGTTGTGCCACACCCAAGGGACCAGAGAGGGCATTGGATCCTCTGGAACTGGAGTTTCAGATGGTTGTTAGCTGTCATGTGGGTGCTGAGAACTGAACCCCAGTCCTCTGCAAGAGCAGCCAGTGCTCTTAACCACTGAGCCATCTCTCCAGCCCTGAAAGTACAATCTTTTCAGCCAGTTATGATTGCACCATTGCATGCTTATAGTGGAAAAACGCAAAGACATTACAGTCTACTTAACATGCAAATTCACTCTCAAATTTAAGATTCCCACTGTATGATGACATTTATGTGAGGAAGAGTGACAGGTTTTAATTTTTACTAATGGCAGCTGCAATTGAGGACAACTACATAAATTCTAAAGACCAGTCAGCCAAAATGCAGGAGGAAAGATTTCACCAGGAAGAATTTATATGTCTCAAAAATACTTTCCACAAATCACGTAAATGATCCCATATATTCCCATATATTCTCAAATATTTCTATTTCCTGAACTCATTACAAGAACAGAATGTACAAATGTGAAAATTCCTCCTGCAGGGAAGAAACAACATACTTGCCTCATATAAGAATCTATACAAAACACTTGCTCTGGGAATATTAATATAATTCATGTCTGTCAAATGAACATGGAAATGCAGACACTCTGTATTCTCCAAAGCCCATGTCACCCCCATTTAGCCTGTGTATTAATCACTTCTCACTGCTGTGAAGATCACCCAGGAGCAACTTAGAGAAGCCTTTCTACTGGCTCACAGTTTGAGGGTGCACACCACAGCAGTGGGGAAGGCCTGATAGTGAGAAGAGGTCTACATACTGTGGCAGAGCATGAGGCAGCTGGCCACTCTGTGCCAATGTCCGGGAACACACAGAATGTTCTGGAGCAGCTGGCTTTCTCCTTTTTTCTCTCTTGATTTAGTCTGGGACCAAATCATGTTGGGTTAGGGTCCATGGGATGGTAGGACCCATATTTATGATGTGTGTTAACTCTCCTCACAGATACTTCCAGTGTTGTGTCTTGTTGTGGGTGTTTACAAATTCAAACAAGTTGGCAGTGAACATCACACAAGTATTATGTCAGATCTTGGAAGCTGTAAGGATTGCTAAAAGCCCACAATTTGAAAATATGCTTTCAATGCTGGGCATGGTGGCATGTGCCTTTAATCCTAGCACTTGGAAGCCAGAGGTAGGAGGATCCTCATGAGTTCGAGGCCAGCTTGGTCTACATAGTGAGTTCCAGGCCCACTGGGGCTACAGGGAGACCCTATCTTAAAAAGGACAAAAAAAAAAAAAAAGCTTTCAGTGAATGTCTATACCTGGGAAAAAGTATACAACATCCCATTTCAGTAGAATACCTCCTATGATGTCATATGTGCGCATGTCTTTCAGATGAACGACCTGAAGTCTTTTGGGTTTTTTTGGTGTTTTTTTTTGGTCTTTTTGAGACAGGGTCTCTCTGTAGCCCCAGCTGGCCTGGAACTCACAGAGATGCGCCTGCCTCTCTCTCCCAAGTGCTGGGATTAAAGACGTGCACCACCGTGCCCATTATGAAGTCTTAAAACTTGGTACATGTACATACAACCATTGAAAAATCCTATGACTTTTGAATAATCACATATCCACAATGAGAAAACACTCTGTATCTCAAGGACACGGATAAAGCCATTGCTTTCGTTTCCACCCTAATCTATAATCTATGTTCATATGCACACACAACGCTGTCTCATGAGTCATAGTGACATAGGCATTATGACTGTGTGAGTAACAGGGATCCAGTGGTCTGTGCAAACAATTTCAGTATGTGATGGAGTGGGGCTCTGAATGGGGATTGTAGCGTTGGAGGTTGAGGATCTGTGAAGTATGAATTTGGCAGTATTTCAGATACATTATTGTAATGATAGGACCAGGCTTCCTAATGTAATTTGTCTCTGATGTTTCTTTGTTGATATTTTGTCTTGACCATAGGTGTCTATTGGCAATGTGGTATTGAAGATACCCGTTGTTCTTGGATTACAGTCAATCTGTGCTTCTGCATCCACTAGTGTTTGTTTCATGATATTGAGTGTGCTGACATTTGATGTGCATGTGTAGAATTCAAGTATTCTCTTTAGAGATTGTTCCCTTAATCAGTATGATCAGACTGTCTTTATCTCTTCTGATGTATTCTGTTTAGAAGTCTATTTTATCAGATATCAGTATATCCACATATGCTTGTTTGCTTTCCTTTTTATTTTGAGACAGGGTCTCCCTGTAGCCCCAGGTTGCCTGGAACTTGTTACATAGACCAGGCTGGCCTTTAACTCAGAGACCCTCCTGCCTCTGTCTCTCAAGTGCTGGGATTAAAGGCTTGTGCCACCATGCCCAGCTTTAAGGCTTTAAACACTAATTATTTATTTATTTATTGATTGATTATTTTATGAGTATTATGTCAGCATGTGTGTAAATGCACCCGTGTCATGCAGTTCCTGTGGAGGACAGACCAGGGTGTCGGATCCCCTGAAACTGGAGTTATGGACAGTTGTTAGCCACCTTATGGATGCTGGGATTTGAACCCCGTTTTCTACAAGAACAACCAGTGCCCTTAACTGCTGAGCCATCTCACCAGCCCCCTTAAGCCTTTAAAAAAATTATTTAATTTTATGCGTATGAGTGTTTTGCTAGCATGTATGTAAGTGCCCCATGTACATGAAATTCCCCAAAGGCTAGAGGAGGGCTTCAGATCTCCAGGAACTGGAGGTATGTACAGTTGTGGGCTGCCATGTGGGGGCTGGGAACAGAATCCCTGTCCTCAGCAAGAGCAGCCAGTGCTCTTAACTGCTGAACCATCTCTCTAGCCCCTAGTGTATTTTGACTATAGCCTTGACAGCATTGCAATCTGGAGTTATTAAAAGGACATTTAGTTGTTCTGAAATGTTTCTTACACTATTGCATACGTGCTCTTCTAGTCTTTCCTGTGGCCTCATGGGTGTGCCTAGCCTCTTCAGTGAGGAGGGTTCCTTCAAGTATCTTTTGTCCTCTCTTTAATGGTCTGGAAGTACTTTAGTTTGTGTTTGACACAGAGTTTCCCTCTGTTATTCACAAAGTATAGCCTTGAACTCCTGATTCATTTGTCTCCACCTCCCAGTGTTATTTTACTGGATTAAAAAAGGTACCACTGTTTAAAGGGCTCATATCCTTGGCTTGCCTTACTGAAATTCCTGATCCCTGGAGGACATCAAGTCCTGTTCCAATCTGTTATGGGGTGAGTTGTGTGCCTTTCCAGCTTATTATAAGGCATAAGGATCACTGCAATGGATTGTATGTAGTGGACTGTGAAAACTAACGACTTTCTCTTACTATCTGTAAGACGAAAGTCCCAGCTCTTCCAGGGAGGAACAAGGTTTGCTTCAAAGCAAATCATTCTGGAGCAGGCCCAAGCCTGACTGGGGGCAGAAGCCAGGGCAGGAAAGGGCGGTACTCACTCACCCAAGAGCTGATCCTGTCACTCAGGCCTCACAAGCCAATCAGAGTGCTCGGGACGGCCGTCCAATCGGAAGCACCTAGGGGACTGCACCTGTCACTCAGTACTCGCGGGTCGACCTTGGCCAATCACAACCTCCAGGGCGAGCCATCCAGTCGGGACCGCCTCAGGGAGCCGTTGCTGTCACTTAGGCCTTCTGAGCCAGTCAGAGTCACCCAGGCGGGCCGTCCAGCAAGACGCCTAGGGAGCTCTTCCTGCCACTCAGCCTCGCGAGGCGGACCTAGCCAATCCTGGTTTCGGGACCGGATGTCCAATCAAGAGCGCGGGCGGGCGGTGGGAGGCGGACGGTCTCCGGCCGCCATGCTGTGGGGTCTGCTCCTTGGCTGAGGGAGACGCCGCGTGTGCGCGGGTGCCGTGGCGAACTCTGCTGCCGAGCGCAGCTGCGGGGAACTGAGAAGAGCGCGGGCGAGCCGGAAGCCGGGCCATGGTGAGCGTGGGGTTGGCCGTCCCCAGACGCAGGGACGGCCGCTGTTGGGTCCTCTCCGCGGGCTGGGCCGGGCCGGGCAGACAACCGAGGCAGCAGCCAGACCCGCTGGCAGCCGGATCCCTGTCCTGTACGGTCGGTGGGGAGACCTGGATCCCCGCCCGGCCGCCCCTGGGCACTTCCGGCTTTCGGGCCTTGTCTGCGTAGAGCGCGGTGAGCGGGAGGCTCCGCCCTGCGCCTGGAAGCTTCCGTGTTGGTGACGTCACCGTCTGGTGCTGGCGCACTGGCTTCTGGGGTCTCCCTGGAAGGCGGGTCGCTGAACTAAAGGCTAGGTTCTGTGTTGTCTTCAATGTGCTGGGCTCTGCTCACTTTAGGGTCCATTTTGAGTTCATTTTGTGAAATTTGTTAATTCTGTGGACAAAGAGTTTCTTTGTAAAGGTGTTCCGCGTTCCAGAGGAAGTTCTGGAACAGACTGCTTATTGAATTTTCTTTGCAAAGGTGAGTTGAAAGCCGGGTCTGGTGGCGCAGACCTTTAGTCCCCCCACTCGGGAGGCAGAGGCAGGCGGATCTCTGTGAGATCGAGGCCAGCTTGGTCTACATAGTGAGTTCCAGGACAGCTGGGGCTACTGGGAGACCCTGTCTCAAAAAGACCAAAAGAAAGAGAAAAGAAAAAAAGGTGAGAAAATACGTTTTTGCCTAGTTCTTTTTTGCATTTTATTTTGGGGGATCTATTTGTGGATCTGCTCTTTCCCAAATACAGCAGTGTCTTGAATATTGTAGTTTGATGGGAAATGCGAAAGACGTGTTAATGTGTGTGCAGTTTATTTTTCCGTATTGTTTTCACGGTTCTGGTTTTGTGTTAATATATATTTTTTTAAGTTTAAATTTTTTTTAATGTGTATGAGTGTTTTACCTGTATGTATGCAACTGTACTATGCAATGCCAGGGGAGGCCAGAAGTGGGTGTTACAGCCTCCGGAACTGGAATTACGGAGCCGCCATGTTCTAGGAATGAAGGTCCTCTTCAGGAGCAAACAGTTCTCAACCGCTCACCCATCTCCCCAGCCGCTCTTTTATCGTTATTATTATTATTATTATTTGGTCTTTTTGAGACAGGGTCTCCCTGTAGTCCCAGCTGGCCTGGAACTCACTGTGTAGACCAGGCTGGCCTTGAATTTACAGGGATCCATCTGCCTCTGCCTCCTGAGTGCTGGGATTAAAGGCATGCATGTGTAGGTCTGTGCAGGTAATGGCAGTGATGGAGTTACAGGCTGCTGTGAATTACCTAATGTGGGTGCTGGTAATCAGATTCAGGTCCTCTGGAAAAGCAGGATGTCCTTTTAACCGTCAGCCTTTGTTTTTTGAGATAGGGTTTCTCACTGTGTAGCCCTGGCTGGGCTGGAACTAGCTATGTAGACCTGGCTGGCCTCCAACTCAGAGATATTTTCCTGCATCTGCCTCCCAAGTGCTGTCACCACACTCTGCAGATTCTGGTTCATTTAAAATTTTTTTTTTTTTACTTTATGTGTATGATTGTTTTTCTGCATGTGTGCTTGGTGCCTGTGGAAGCCAGAAGATGGCATCAGATCTCCTGGAACTGGGATTACAGATGTTTATGAGTCATGTGTGGGTGTTAGCGCCCTCTGCAAGAGCAGCAAATGCTCCTAAGTGTTGAGCCATCTCTCCAGACTCCCCCTCCCTTTTAAAAAATATTTCCATATAACCTTTAATAATCTGTTTTCTAAAATTGTTTTGGTCCCCCCCCCCCTTTTGGTCTTTGTGAGACAGGGTCTCCCTGTAGCCACAGATGGCCTGGAACTTGCTATGTAGACCAGGCTGGTCTTGAACTCCCAAGAGATCTGCCTGCCTTTGCTTCCTGAGTGCTGGGATTAAAGGCATGCAATTGTTTATATTTTTATTAATTATGTTAACTATAGTTCAAACTGAAAACTGACAGTATTGAGACTTCCTGTGTTGAGTGTGTAGTGCCAGAAACATAGACACATACATATATCCAGTTTACAGAATGAATTTAGGAGGCTGAAGCAGAGTTCAGAAGACTCAGAAATGGCCCTAGAGAAAAGCTAGTAGCATCTGTATTGAAAAAGTAAAGAGTCCAAGACCAGTGAACTGTAGGCAGGGTGCTTGGGCTGAAGCCACAGGGAAGAAGCAAGTTTGAGAGCAGAGTTTCAGAGTCCAGCTGGGAGAATGATGGCACAGCGAGGAAAACGTCTCCTTGAGGTCCTTGTCCAGACTGGCAAGCAGTAGAATGAGCAGGTAGTCAAATTAGTCACATCAGCAGTCAGGGACCAAGCCAAGCTGAAGCCACAAGGACAGTTGGGAATTCCCTTTAAGGATTTTTAATATTCCAGTGTACCCCTATATTCTCAGTTCACCCTGATAAATTTATAGAGTGGCTGATGTCCTACTCCCAGGAACAAACCCTTTATCTAAGTCTTCAGTCTGTACTGCATGGGTGGACAGATGGTGTGTGGTGTTTGTGGATCTGCCCAGGGGCTGTAGGCATTCTCTTCCCTCAAAATGGAGTCAAAAGCTGCTTGTAAAATGGAGTCTCTCAAGTCAAGGCACAGTCTGAAAACTGTTTTGCACAGTGTGGCGGTCACATGGAACAGAACACAGCCTGATCTCAGCAATTGGTATCCAAGACCTTGTAGCACTACTCCCTTTATCAAGTTACAAAGAAAGTTGTAGTTTGTATCTGTAGTTCTTTGTTACGTTTGTATTTTTCTGTAGGCTTTTCTCCTTGCTGGTCTATAAGCAGTATGTTTGTTTTCACAGCCCCTTGTGTATTCCTGATACAAAGGAAATGGATGGGCTTTTGTATATGCTGTAGTGTCTTATTAATTTCTTAGGATTTTCTTGATTTCTTGGGATTTTCTGTGGACAAAGACAGTATGTTTTCTTCTGAATCTCAGTTATTCTCTTTCCTTTTCTTGACAGTTTTTTCTTTTTTAAATATTTGTGTAATTATAAGATTTTTGTAACTTACTGATATGGGATTGCATTGATTTTTATTTTTTTTATTTATTTTTTTAATTTTTGCTTTTTGGGTGCTGTGACTTGAACCCTGGTCATGCTAATCATAAGCCCTGCTAATGAGCTTTACCTGCAGCCTGAGTTTTGAAGTTTGAATTGGTGTTGCATACCTGCCCTAATTTCCACCTGATTGTGGCATATTATATTCTTATTTGGTTTGCTGTTTTTTGTTTTTTGTTTTTTTTTTTTTTTCCGGTCATTTTGAGACAGGGTCTCCCTGTAGCCCCAGCTGTCCTGGAACTCACTATGTAGACCAGGCTGGCCTCAAAATCACAGAGATCCGCCTTCCTCTGCCTCCCGAGTGCTGGGATTAAAGGCGTGCTGAGACTCAAAATTTTTTTAAAAATTTATTTTCACGGGTGTGGTGGCGCACGCCTTTAATCCAAGCACTCGGGAGGCAGAGGCAGGTGGATCTCTGTGATTTTGAGGCCAGCCTGGTCTACGTAGTGAGTTCCAGGACAGCTGGGGCTACAGGGAGACCCTGTCTCAAAAAGACCAAAAAACAAAAAATTTTATTTTCATTTTTTGTGTATAAGTGTTTGCCTGCATGTATGTAAGTGCACTATGTCCATGCAGTGCCCATGGAGGCCAGAAGGATGCATTGGATCCCTTGGAACTGGAGTTAAGGGTGGCTTTTAGTCATGTGGGAGTTAGGAACTGTACCTGGATCCTCTGCAAGAGCAGCCAGTGCTCTTAACCACTGAGCCATCTTTCCAGCCCCTGAGACAATTTTAACCAGGATCATGTGTATGTGTGACCATGGGTTTGGCTCTATTCATTGGAGCTCATTGGGCACGCAACTCAAGACCCTCCCTCAGAATCCATCAGTAGTCAGTATTTTTTTTTTAATTTTTTATTTATTTTTATTTTATGTGTATGCGTGTATTGCCTGCATGTAGATGAGTGCACCTGTGTAGTACAATGCCTGTGGAGGTCAGAAGAGGCTATCGAATCCCCTGGAACTGGAGTTACGGACAGTTTTTAGCTGCCATGTGGGTGCTGGGATTCGAACCTGTTCTGCAAGAACAACCAATGTTCTTAACTGCTGAGCCATCTCTCCAGCTCCCACTAGTCAATATTTCAAGGAGGAGTAGGGACCCATGATTGATCGTTGATGGGCCCAGTCTTGTGTAGGCCCATTGCAGGGTAGCCACCGTTGCTGTCAGGTCGTGACGGGCATTAGCTCTGCCATGCCCAGAAGTCAGCATTTTATATTCCTTCTCCTATCTTCTGGCTCTTACATTTTCTGCCCCATCCATCTTCTGTAGTGATCCTTGAGCCTTGGAGGTGGGATAATCCATGTCTGGTTCAGTGAGCCAGATCACCGAGCCATGTGAGCCATGTCACTCAGATCAGTCAAGCATCTGCATTCACTGTCATGCGCTGTAGAGTGAGACTGCTGATAAAGGCTGGGAGCAGCATTTGTCTGTGGGTGTACACACAAATACTGAGAAGGTATCTTGGCTCTGACAATTTAGCTAAACAATAATAAGTTCACCGCAGGGCCTAAGACAGGCCCTCAGATGTTTTTTTGTTGTTTTTTTTTTACTGGGTTTGCAGTGCCAGTAAGGATTCTCTCTTTTGGAGTAGCCCTCAAAGGTAATCACAGAGCAGCTGGCATAACAGTGGTGCTACTGTTGCACAAGTGAGCATATCTTGCTTGGCAGGTTGGTGGTGTAGATTGTTGGGTTCACAGCTGGGTAAGACCTTTGATGTCTTTTCTGCCCCAGCAGCCTGCATAACAACGACCAGTACTGTGAAAGCTAACCACCAGGGAGAAAGCTTCCACCTCAGTTCTCTGCACTGCAACTCAAGTGTGTGGTGTCTTCATTCAGAAGAGCTTATCACCCAGCTGCGAAAGCTCTGGGGCTTCCCTGACTCATTGAAGGAGGCATGGCATACCTAAGGTTTGGTTTAGTGAACATTGCCTTTCAGGAGCAGCATTAC